AATGTTAATAAGTAAATGCTTATTGATATTAAGTTATTAATATATACTAGTTGTATTAGATCTTGGTACATACACATTAATAAAAGGAAGTTAATAATATTGTTGTTATTAATAACAAGTATAAAATATAGAACACACACACTAATTATATTAATAATAAATCATATTAAATAATATATTAATAAATTAATTATAATTATCTAATCTATAGTTATTTTAATATGTAGTACAGTTTTACTGGCTTAGTAGTTCTATTGTTATTTTATTTCCATCCCCTTTTGCTAATTTCTGACTGACAAAATTTAAAATAAAAATAATTACTAAAAAAATTATCATAAAGTACTGCACAAATTCATTGCCAAATATTTAGAAAACTCTTCCAAAAAACTATATCAAACAAGAAAGAAAAAACATGCAGAAAACATACATATCTCTTTTAATGAGAGATCCTTGTAAGGTAATTTCATGTCTGTGAAGACGACAAATTATTCTTAAACATCAACTGTTGGACCCCATTTCAGTTCTACCAACTCTAACAAATACTTAGGCTCCAAAAGTTGCTTCAGTAGTGTCAAAATCATTCCTCCAAATTTCTTCCTCTCTACCTGCTTTATACAACCAATGCATGTTTGCAAATAATACCAAACATCAATATTTCAAATCAGAGGCTTCACCAAAAATATACATATTTATCTCAATTCTCAAGATACCATGGCCTTGTGACCCCAACAACATCACAACAAACGTTAGGTGATCTCACCAAATCATTGCCCTAGTAGGTGCTACATAAAGATTAAAAGTTTGCCACCTCAATACTAAATTGACCACTAATCTTGTTCATAAACTGTTACTGTTTTTCTCTCTCTCCTTTTATATATCAGTTTGACTTCGCTTTACTCTCAAGCAAGTTCACAACATTTTCCCCATAAATGTCCAAATTCCTGTTCAGGTGAATCTGGTGTGTTCCTTCAATAAAGATCTGATCACCCTCTTCCCATCTTTCTTGCTCCTGAGAAAGATAAAAAGAAAAGAACAACCTTTTTTTCTCAAAAACCAACCATGAGGTCCAAAACCCAATTCACATGCAGCCTCAAGGTAGCCATTCTCTCCATTGCCTTTCTCTGCCTCTTCATCTTGCTATTCCGCTCATCCATATTCTCCTTGTCTCCCCAACTCACCTCACAGACCAACTTGTCAGACTCAAACGCAGTAGCAGTAGCAGTAGAAGAATCTCACCCCACAACAGAAACAACAGAAACTGCAGCCACACCATCATCATGCCCTCCAATCCCTGAGAACCCCACATGCAACAAAGCCCCTCCGTCTTTGTCCAATGCTCTCATCCACTACGCCACCACCAACGTCACCCCTCAGCAGACCCTCCGTGAGATCTCGGTCTCGGCCAAGGTCCTTCAGAAGAAGTCACCCTGCAACTTCCTCGTGTTTGGCCTCGGCCACGACAGCCTCATGTGGACATCGCTCAACTACGGTGGCCGCACGGTGTTCCTGGAGGAGGACAAGTCATGGATCGACCAAATCCAACAGAAGATACCCTCTTTGGAGTCCTACCATGTCATGTACGACACACAGGTTAACCAGGCTGACGAGCTGTTGAAGGTTGGAATGGAAGCAGACTGCAAAAAGGTGAGTGATCCAAGATTTTCTCAGTGCCAGCTCGCGCACAAGGGGTTCCCAAGTGAGGTTTATGACATAGATTGGGATGTGATCATGGTGGATGCCCCCACAGGTTTCTTTGAAGGGGCACCAGGGAGAATGACTGCAATCTACACTGCAGGGTTGATTGCTAGGAACAAAGGCCACGGTGACACTGATGTGTTT